TATATCCAAAATATCCAGCCTCTCCACGCAAGTACTAATGGACAGCCTTTTCAGAGTTTAACTATAAAAACAAAAGGGCACAATTTTTTTGGTCTTTGTGCCATGCTGCTCAAGAATCAAATTATGTTTATTTATTTATTTTTATTTATTTATTTTTTTGGCTGCGTTGGGTATTCGTTGCTGCGCGCGGGCTTTCTTTAGCTGCGGTGAGTGGGGGCTACTTTTTGTTGTGGTGCGCGGGCTTCTCATTGTGGTTGCTTCTCTTGTTGCAGAGCACGGGCTCTAGGCGCATGGGCTTCAGTAGTTGTGGCTCGCGGGCTCTAGAGCGCAAGCTCAGTAGTGGTGGTGCCCGGGCTTAGTTGCTCCACGGCATGTGGGATCCTCCCGGACCAGGGCTCGAGCCCGTGTCCCCTGCATTGGCAGGCGGATTCTTAACCACTGTACCACCAGGGAAGCCCCAAGAATCAAATTCTTAAAAAAAAAAAGATCAAATTCTAGAGAGTCTTATTGACCTAGCTAAGCTCACATGCCCACTTTTGGCCAGAAGGCAAAAGAAACATCTTAATAAGAAGCCCCCATGAAAATAGCACACTATAGGAAAGAGACAGCTTCCCAAAGGAAAACTGAAGTTATCAAGACCATGGATACTGGGCAGGCAAAAATAATAGACATCTAGTAAACTGACTTTTAGCAGATCACAAATGATAAAGGGAGAAACAATTATTTTGGACATTTGTCCTATTATGTACTGGCTTCCCAAGGTGGCTACACCATTCTACATTCCCACCAGCACTGTATGGCTCCAATTGCTCCACTTCTTTGCCAAAACTTACCTTTAAAAACAAAAGTTATAGTTGTCTTAGTGAGCATGAAGTGGTATCTCATTGTGCTTTTGATTTGCATTTCCCTGATGGCTAATGATGTTGGATTATCCTTTCATTTGCTTAGCCAAGTATATATATTCTTTGAAGAAATGTCTATTCAGATCCTTTACCCATTTTTAAATTGGGCTGTTTGTCTTGAATTCTATGGGTTCTTTATATGTTCTAAACATGTCTATTATCAGATATAATTTGCAAAAATTTCCTCATTCTTTGGTTTGTCTTCTCACTTTCATGATGGTATCTTTGAAGTTCAAAAGTTTTTAATTTTGATGATGTCCATCTTATCTATTTTTTCCTTTGTTCCTTATGTTTTTGGTGTCATCTCTAAGAAACTGTTGCTTAATTCAAGAACACAAAGGTTTAAGCCTATGTTTTCTTCTAAGAGTTTTATAGTTTTAATGCTTATATTTAGCTCTCTGATCCATTTCTGAGTTTCATTTTTATACACGGTTTGAGTTAGAGATCCAATTTCAATCACCAATGGCCAATAATTTATGTAATGAAGCTTGCTTAAAACCCAAAAGAGAGGGTTTGGAAAGCTCCCAGGTTGGGGAATCAGAACATTTACATGTGCCACCATGCCAGAACCAAAGTCCACAGGAACAAAAGCTCCTTTGTTCAGGACCTTACCGTATATCTCTTCATCTGGTTCTTGACTCATATATCCTTTATAATAAAGCAGTAATCCAGTGAGTAAACGGGCTTCCTGAGTTCTGTGAGCTGCTTGAGAAAATTAATTGTACTCTAGGAGGGGGTCTTGGGAACCTCTGATTTATAGCCAGTCAGTCAGAAGCACAGGTAACCTAGGCTTCTGATTGGCATCTGAAGTGGAGGACAGTCTTGTGGGACTGAACCCTTAATCTGTGCAATCTGATGCTATCTCCAGGTAGTGTCAGAATTGAGTTGAATTGTAGGACACTGACCTGGTGATGAAAACTGCTTGGTGGTATGGGGAAACACTGTGCCCTTCCCAACATCAGAACTGAGTGCAGAATGTCTTAAATAGTATTTCCTTATAATTCTTTTTACTTCTGTAAGGGTGGTAGTGTGTCCACTCTCTACTTTCTATTAATACCATCCCAAACCCTGGCACTGCAGCAGCAGGATGAGAAATTCTATTTGGGAGTATACAGTGGGGAGCAGGCATGATAATGACGGAGAATAAATAAATGCAAGGGAAAGCTTGGGAATTGGCATCTAGGGAGACTGCTGTGTTTTTTTAAATATTTATTTATTTATTTGGCTGCGCCGGGTCTTAGTTGCCACACATGGAATCTTTGTTGCGGCATGTGAACTCTTAGTTGTAGCATGTGGGATCTAGTTCCCTGAGCAGGCCCCCTGCACTGGGAGCACAGAGTCTTAGCCACTGGACCACCAGGGAAGTCCCGGGAAATTGAAGGTTTGATATTACAAAATCATAGGATCTAATGTAGAGGGAAGTAGGAAATTGGATAAGACTGATGCTGGATGGGAGATGAGGCAATGAAGCAGAGTGGGTAACCAAGTATTTGTTATCCTGATTTATTTCTGAAGTTTTGAGGGAGGAATTTAATTATTAGAGGACAATGGGGCCAAGTATATTAATTTATTCCTGCAGAGACACTACTATGACAAATAGTCACAGTATTAATCTCCAACAAGTATTAAGCACTTACTCAACATGTAATGGACTCGAGTTCTAAATACTGTGGATTTCACCCTTCTATCCAAGTCAGGTCCATATTTTAACTGTATCCAAACAAACCATATTATTGCATATATAATGAGGCCAAGCAGATCTCAGCTGTTGTTTCCTTAATAAGCAGCCTAAGGGGCTTCCCTGGTGGCACAGTGGTTAAGAATCCGCCTGCCAATGCAGGGGACACGAGTTCGAGCCCTGCTCCGGGAGGATCCCACGTGCCGCGGAGCAACGAAGCCCGGGCGCCACAACTACTGAGCCCACATGCCACAACTACTGAAGCCCACGCACCTAGAGCCCGTGCTCTGCAACAAGAGAAGCCACCGCAATGAGAATCCCACGCACCGCAACAAAGAGTAGCCCCCGCTTGCCGCAACTACAGAAAGCCGGCGTGCAGCAATGAAGACCCAATGCAGCCAAAAATAAACAAATTAAATAAATAAATTTAAAAAAATAAGCAGCCTACATCCTTATGAATACCCTAATTTCTAATTTCTAATTTCACTAGGTATGTTAGTCTCCTGCAGCTACTGTAACAAACTTAGTGACTTAAAACAGCAGCAATGTATTATTCTCTCACAGTTTTGGAAGCCAGAAATTTAAAAGAAGGGGGTCAGCAGGGCCACACTCCCTCTGGAGGCTCTAGGGAAGAACCTGTTCTTTGCCTCTTCCAGCTTACGGTGGCTCTTGGCATTCCTTGACTTGTGGCTGCATCACTCCAATCTCCCTCTGTGGTCACAAGGCCTCCTCCTTGTCTGTCTCAAATCTCCCTCTACAAAGTCACCTGTCATTGGATTTAGGGCCCAGCCAGATAAATCAGGATGACTTCCTTATCTCCAGATCCTTAACATAATTTTACCTGCAAAACCATTTTTCCAAATAAGGCACAATCACAGATTCCAGGCATCAGGACATGGACATACCTTTTGGGGGATCACCATTCAACCCACTACACTAGGAGATTTTAAATAAGCTCCAAATGCAAAAATAAAAATTAAAAAGAAATGATCATTTGGGTAAAAAGTCATACTGAAGGACGCATACCATGACATTATATACAGCAGAAAATCACAAATCAATGCTTTAAAAACATATATATTTAATGTACAGGATTGGAAAAAAGGACTCTTTGATAATAAACATATTCCAGGTAAACACAGGCTTCCTAAACTGATGAATATTTAATTGCAAATATTAATACCCTAAGTTACACTTCTATATAAAGGAGAAACTCCAAATCCTGTTCTTTAGGAAGATGTGGAAGACAAGTAATAACTTAAGAGCAACTATTGCTATCTCTCCCCTTTCCCTGGGTGATCTAACATTTTACATGGATTAGTTACAAAAGGAAATATTAGATTCCATTGAATTTAAGCACAAGACACAGCTAAAATTTATCACTGAGAGTACTAAATATTTGATGCTTATGAGTGTGAATAAATAAGTTAATTAAATATTAAGTACAAGGCAGATTCCAAAACTGACTGAAGCATGAAAAACAAAAGGTATAAATACCTAATAGTCAGTTAATATAAATTTTGCTATTGGATATGTTCCAGGCTTCCTTTTCTATGTCTGCTTCCTTTTTGTCCAATGTCTTCCATTGCTGGGCTCCAAGACAGTAAACTCTTTAACCTCACCAAGGCCTTGGTCATGCAAAGGATTTATTTTAGAAACAAAATAACTTCTTTCTTCTTTCTAAAGGTCATAGTTGTTTTTTCTGCTACTTGCTTCCTTCAACGAGTTATTAAAGTCCCCGTGTGCAAAAAGTTACTGGGCAAGAACAAGCAGTCTGTGTTGGCTGTTCCACAGTGCAGTGGCTGGTTAACAAAGAAGATGTCCGGGCTTCCCTGGTGGCGCAGTGGTTGAGAGTCCACCTGCCGATGCAGCGGACACGGGTTCGTGCCCCGGTCCGGGAGGATCCCACGTGCCGCGGAGCGGCTGGGCCCGTGAGCCATGGCCGCTGAGCCTGCGCGTCCGGAGCCTGTGCTCCACAACAGGAGAGGCCCGCGTACCGAAAAAAAATAATAATAAAAAAATAAATAAAGAAGATGTCCACTTAACCTTTTTCTCATTTGGTCTCATCCAAAGAGTAAGGCAAAAGGATCAAGGTTACAGAGGACTCATGACCAAGGTACAACTTTTACAAATATCTTTGAATGGCCAGGGAAAGCTTTACTTCTTCAGTCATGCCCCCAAATGAGTTGTTATTGAACCAAGAAGCCCTTCCCACCCATTAGAGGCTGCTAAGCACAGACGCTTCAAAGATTAGTTCAAGGTAGCACATAGATGCTTCAGGAGAGAGGACCAAAAAAGAGGAGGCCGTGGAATACAGGAAAGAGCAAACAAAGAAGATGCCCCCAAAGTACACAGTTCACTAGGATCAGAATGGTCATTGATATAAACCCCTTATCATTCCACCTTCTGACAAACTCCTTTTATTATTTAGACATTAAGATATTTTCAGTCTTTTGCCTTCCTTTTCCACATTGTCTCTAATATTCTGTAGTTTTCTGGAGTTCTGGACCAGGAACAGCAAGCTCTCCCTAAAATCACTAGTCCCATGGTCTCTGCCAACATTTTCAAGCTCATCAAACAAAGACAATGTCTGTTTGAGTTTGGCCTGAACAATTTTTTGCTCTTCTAATTCTGCAAGAAGGGCCTGCTTAGTGCATAATTCAGTCTTATACTTCTCCTGTAACTGTTCAATTTCTTTTTGGAGAAGCTGGAATTCTTCCTCACTACAAGGATGCGTCTCCTGAGATTTATCTTCCGGAAGCAAGACGTTTGGGGGAATACGCAAGATCAACTGTAAAAACAGCTGCTCCATTTTGCCAAAAAGGTTATCAAAACGTCCTTTCATGAAGCAAAGAAACTTTTCCGTGCACTTACGAATCTGGACTGGGCTAATCGCACAGTCTGGGATGCCATCCAACTTCTTCAGAATAACCTGTTCAACAGCCTGCATCACTTCAAATAGGTAGTCTTGAAATGCAATGTAGATCCTAAGCATGCAAGTTTGCGGTGTGAAGCCAAAGAACTGGGCCTCATAGGTCATCGGATCAACAGACATCTTGGCTTATTTTGCTTTGTTAATTTTGAATGTGAAAAATCTGCAAATGTAATAAGAAAAAATTTCATTTGTGTTCAAAAAAATCATCTGATGAAAGTAACAAATGACATTACAGATAGCAAAGCAAACAAAAATAAAACAAAGAAGCAGACAAAAAAATATGAAGTTTATGTTCCTTGATACCCAATGCTACTTCCACCCTCACTCATCCGCAGCAGGATACAAACGCCGCCTCGCTGAGGCTCTTTCCATCAGCCTGTAACCTCCCTCTTCCTCCTCATTGTCCATTTCCCTCACCTCTCAGTTACTGAGGCTTCTGGCCTATGGATCAGCCTTCGGAATTCTATCATCCCAGACAACTTTCAAGTTTACATGGATGATCTTACCAATGCCCTAGAGACTCAGTTTCTTGAGTTTCGATGATCTTCGTCTCCACTCTTTTAGCCACATGGTGATTGATATTTGTAACTTCTTTCCCCAGCTGCTCCTACTTTTTGACCACAACCTCATATGCTGGTCTTACAACGCTCATTCGCATATTCATATTATACCTTAATCGTCAAGACTTTCAGCCCTCTGATCTTCTTTTTCTAGCTCTCAGTCTCTCCCACCTCACTTCTTCCTCTCTCCATTTTAAGCTCTATGATCCATCACTTCAACGGCTCCCTTGCCAAGGTCCTCAACTGCCCTGTCCTTCCAACCTTGCCATCTGAAAAATGTCCCATTAGAAGCTGAGCAAGCCTGATGTTTTCTCAAGGGTCTGGGAGACATTCCTTTTAAATGTAAACATCTAGGAAAATAGCACTCCTATCTCCCTATCACTGTGGGTGTTTAACCTAGGGACCTTTTTCTGAGCTGTAACCATATACTTGTCACAGAAATAAAAGTATTGGTAGTTTCATTATTCCTGCAAAGTAATTAGCTAAAAAAAAATGGCTACCTCAATTACCAGGTGAATTTAGGATGAACCTTATGAAATAATTTGAAGCAAGTGGTGCAGTCAAATCTTTTTATGGGACAAGATGCTGTTAATCTTGAGAACTTATGTAATGGCTAAAAATAGAATGGTTGTAATGGTTTAGCTGTATAAAATAGGGTAGAATTTCTTTCTGTCTTTGTCATCTCATTCACAGATTACCTATAATGCATTGTAATCCAGATATGCTTATTCAGTAATAAAACTGCTTTCTCTTCTATGTCTTGTGGAGAGGATTCTGTGGATTAACAGGATTTTAATTTCAACACTACCCTATGCCTTCAGGATCAATTTCAAACTCTTTCACATGGCTTACAAGGACCTTCATCATCTGACCTTTACTAACCACTCTGTCCTCCTTTTTAAGGACCTCACATATGCATAATTGAAGTGATAATACTTCCTATTTCATAGCACTCTATATTTGGTCCATGCTAGGTCCTCTCTTATTTATTTTCTTTCATCGCCCAGAGGAACCTACTCCAGTGTTTTAATGTATGCCTTTTCAGTTCATCTTTAATTTCAATTCATCTTTAACAGGTTTTAGACATACAGTTGACCTTTGAACAACATGGGTTTGAACTGCCCAGGTCCAGTTATACGTGGATATTTTTCAGTAGTAAATACTAAAGTACTACATAACCCACAGTTGCTTGAAACTGTGAATGTAGAACTGCATATATGGAGAGCCAACTCTAAATTACACAAGGATTTTTGACTGCTGGGTGGATTGGCACCCCTAATCCCCATGTTGTTCAAGGGTCAACTGTATAGTCTTGCAAAATACAGTTTTCTTTACGTATGGTTTGCTTTACATTATGTTTGCAATCACTTCATGTTATTACACTTCATTGTTGTTTTACTTCATAGGTTCTTTTTTTATCTTTGGTTGCACTGGGTCTTCATTGCTGCGTGTGCAGCTTTCTCTAGTTGCAGCGAGCAGGGGCTACTCTTCTTTGACGTGCATGGGTTTCTCACTGAAGTGGCTTCTCTTGTTGTGGAGCTCGGGCTCTAGGCACGTGGGCTTCAGTAGTTGTGGCTCATAGGCTCTAGAGTGCAGGCTCAGTAGTTGTGGCGCACGGGCTTAGCTGCTCTGCGGCACGTGGGATCTTCCCGGACCAGGGCTCAAACCTGTGTCCCTTGCATTGGCAGGTGGATTCTTAACCACTGCGCCTCCAGGGAAGCCCCACTTCATTGGTTCTAACCGAAGCATTCCATTAATTTTACCATATGCGTATACCGTACTTCATGTGTCCACTGTCCATAGCTGCTGGGCCACAGAGTTTACTCATACATAATTTCACTAAATACCGCTAAAATGTTCTCCAGAACACTAGGGGCGGGAGTACAGCTAGGCTGGTTTACCCTCCCATTTGCCGTATATGAGAATTTTTTCTCATGTCTTTGCCTTCACTTGATATTACTCAAAATTCTTATTTTTCCCAATCTTGTAAAATTGTTTTACAGTGTTGCTTTTTGAAAACCAAAACCATCTAACCCCCACACAGGCTGGACACAGAGGACTGCAACTACCGACAGTCTCCTTGCCTCCCCAAACAGCTTACTGTTTACATCAGCATGACTCTACTATTTTAGGAGACCAGAGTAATATTTTCATTGTCCAAACGGCTTGACTGTTCATTATGAGCCCCCGGAAAGACTGATCAACTCTGAAATGCTAAGCACCAACAATCTGTACAGCAAGATTCTCTGAAACCCTTGCCTCAGCTGTTTCTACCAATGCTGGACTGCTTTTCATGAGCTCTACCCAATCCTAATCAAGCATCCAAATTGAAAAATCCACCTTAAACCAAATTTGCGATTCTCAAAAAACTCCAATCTTGCCTGTCATCCCTACAAGACATTGCCAAAGCTCTGTCAAGGTGTTTTGCTTACCAGGGTAGGCAAAACATTCAGCACTGTTATATCAATAGGCTGTGAGGGTGATGTTTGGGGTGCAGGTAAAAATATTTTAATGTGCGTTTCTCCAACTGCCAGTAAAGTTGAGCACCACTTGAAACGTATTAACTCTTTAAGGTTTCTCCTTCTGTAAATTACCCATTCATATCCTTTTTAAAAACCACTCTCTCCAGCCTTTTACTTAATTCCTTCCTTATATACTACCAGACGAGGCCACTCCCTGTTCCAACAACCTTTAGTGCTTCCTTATAACCCACCGAATAAAGTATAATATTCTTAACTTTGCCTGCCATGATCTGACTACTCTTTGTTCCAACCAAACCAAGCTACGGCCTTTCCCTGTGATGTCTTTCCCTCAAGAGAAGATGCCTGGCCAAATATCTTCCAAGGGTCAGTTTAAATACACTTCCCTGGGGACCCACCCCCTCCTCTGAATTCCCATCAGGACCTCTCTTCGGGCACTGGCCAAGTCCTACTTTAGGATATTATTATCACGGGCCTATCTTCTCCGCAAGCCTTAGATTTCCTGAGGGCAGGATGAGTACGGTTTCAATAGATATTTACAGGTGAAACGCGGGAGGTGCCCAGGACACCTCAGCGAGTAGAGCAGCTGGAGCTCCAGAAACCACGGGGCAGGAACCACTTCCGGCCTGAGGACTGCTCCCGGCAGGCCCCGCGCCCCCGCTGCATGCCGGAACCTTAAGGGTGGAGGTTCGCGGCCCACCGGAGACTCTGCTCCATCTGGCCGCTCCAGCGCCCGGCGATGAGGCCTCAGCCAGTGCCACCCCTTCTCGCTCCTCCTCAGAGAAAATGCAGCCCCGTGGCACTTACCCAAGCGACCATGAGAGTGACGAATTCGACCAAACACCGGCTTCCCGCCACCTCCTTTAAACCACTGCCTGCTAGAGATAGGCGGCGCCGCTAACTCCCTCAAATTCCGAGCGCTAGCTGCCTTAGAGCGAGGGCAAGATGCTACCGCGCTCCTGATTGGCTGGCTGTCCGGGGGCAACCTATATTGGTGACGGAAAAGGGGCGAGCGGGAAAGCTAGCTGTGGCCTGCGGGGATTGGCGGAAGGAAGCGATACTCACTCTCTTTCCCGCGACGTAGGTGGCTGAAGAAGCGAGGCTGGGCCGCTGCGGAGACACAACTCGTGATTGGCGGGTGTGCTTTCATTCGGGCTCTAGCGATTGGTGGCTGACCAACTGAGCAGCGCTGATTGGGCAGCAGCGTAAAGGGGAGGATCCCTCCCTGATCCCGCCCCGCCGCTGGGACAGACTGGCGGAAGGGGGAGTGGGGGGGGGGGGCC